GTTTTCAAGTGTAAATTTATTTTACCTATGGAATAAATAATCTTTGATTTTGACTTTGTTAACTTTTTTATAAAATTTCTTAGTATAAATGTGTACCTGGATTAAGTTTATACCTTTTGGGACATTTTACAATAATAATAATTTATACACCTGAATGTTGAACATAGGTTCGGCTATTTATTTCGTAAGCGTAAGCTATTGGTTCGGTCGATAGAACGTTAACGACTGCAATCACTATCTGTTTTTGTAAGTGGGCAACACTAACGCAATGAGTTGTCTTTTTACTCCGTCTGGGAAAAAACATTCTTATGAAGCGATTAGACTATATTATGGCATTATTGTAATCTGGGCTGGGGGGGGGGGGGGTCACTGACAGAAAACTTTTGATATAACCTTAGATTATGGAAACTAAAGGACATGTTATGTTGACATATATAAATCAGACGTTATACGTATATGATGCCAAAAGAGATAGCAAGCATTACATTGGTCTGTGTCAAACACGGGAATCGAAAATACGTAACGTCATCTTAAATGCCAACTGTGTCCATTTTGAAGTATGACCATGAGGTACATGATACGGTTGTCAAAGAGAAGTATATCAAATGTCCAAACAAATGTTTTTCCAAGTGTTTTATTGAATTATTCGCATGTATTGTAATACAATGGACAAAAATATTGACAGTGAGAACAATTAGGAATTAATAAAAATTCGTCGCTGCAGTATTACGGGATGCATTTGAAAAAGCGAAGATCGACCGAATGTAACATTGTACAGCCACGTGTTATTTTTCTGTCTATAAATCACACAAAGCCCAAATATCTCATGAAATTAGACATATTTATGTAGTTTATTTATAAACAGTGTTGGGCGTTAATCAATTAAATTTCAATCAGAAATTCAATCAGATCAAAAAATCAATTCATTTGAAATCAATTGCAAAAAACAATTGCAACGTCACAATTAATTTTAATTGCAATTAATTTTAATTGCAATTGATTTCAATTGAATTTATTTTAATTGCAATTAAATTAATTGCAAATATTTTTTTAAATTGTTTTTAGAAACAGTGTTAGGGATGGGTTAGGGGGTTGGTTAGGGAGTGGGTTTGTGGGTGGGTCACTCACCCCCCCACTCATGCGCTCACTCACCTATCCATCCACCCATTCACCCACGCACCCACCCACTCACTTACCTACACACACACACACTCACTCTCCCACCCACTCACTCAGCTACTCACTCACTCATCCACTCACTCACCAACTCACTCACCCACGCACTGACCCACCTACTCTCTCACCCACTCGCCCACTCACCCAGACACTTACCCTCTCGCTCACCCACGCACTCAACCACGCACTCACCCACTCAATCATCCGCTCACTCTCCCACCAACCCACACACTCACTCACTCACTCAACCAACCACTCTCTCACCCCCTCACAAACCCAACCACTCTCTCACCCACCCATTCACTCACTTAACCACCCACCCACTCACTATCTCACCCACTCACTCGCCACTCACTCACTCACCCACCCACCCACTCACTCACCCACCCACTCACTCACGCACCCATATGCCCTATAAAATTACCGTAATTGTCAGTTTTAATTATTAATTGATAATCAAAAACTTTGAAAAGATTGAAAATCGATCAATTGTTAATTGCAGATATACGCGATTAACGATTGATTAATTGTTAGTTGCGAGAACCGCAATTAACAATTAATCATTTGTTAATTACAGTTCTCGCAATTAACAATTAATCGATTGTTAATTGCTGTTTCGCCATTGACAATTGATTAATTGTCAATCTTTAATTGCATGAACAATTAAATTTTGCTCAACACTGTTCATAAATCTTGCCAAATGTTGCTTTTGGTTTCTTGAGATTGCCTGTTGACAAACAATTGTATATCTTGATGATTGTTGTTAACGATTATTTTGAGATAGTGTTGTTCTTGGAAGCTTACATATTATCGATATTCTGTTATTAAAATAATTCATAACGAGGTTTTTATTATTATTATTTTTACTATTTCAACTTTGTAGGTAAACTCAGGACAAATTCTTATTTTATAAACCCAGCAACACAAAGACCATGTTGGTCTAACGTAGCCGGGTGAAGGTCAATACCAACGTATAGACAGCCTATTTGCCTTGCCATCGTTCGGTGTCACTCGCCTAGCTGACCGAGTGAAGGCGAGCGCTAACGTGTATAGAGTCGTTTGACGTGGCTTGTCACAACTCGCAGTCGCTCGTGACTACTTGTCTCACTTCGGAGAAGTGTCGATTTTTCTGCACAAATCGAAGGTAGTCAATTGACATTGTATAATCAGACATTTGCATGCTATTTAATATACGTGAAACATATTTATACTAACACTGTCTCTTGTTACATCTCCTGTTATACCATGTTTTAAGCAAATAAACGTATGATAATAATATTATTGTTGATAACATTGACCTACCAACAAATGGACATCAGGTCTAATACAAAAACCACGAAAAAAATGTCCCGAGGTTAACCTATACAAACGTAGTGACATATAACAAAATATAAAACCTAAAACATTTAATTTAAATTGTAACATCATTGCAGTACTGCCTCAATTTGCTTACAACAATATAAGGGCCCAAAAACACCATATTCAGCTTCTACTGGAAACTTAACAAAATGCACCATATTTAGCTTCGACTGAAAATTACTTGAACACAAGAGTAATGGAATAGCCTTTCTCGTAAATATTAATTATTTTTTTTATATATATTATTATGTCGAAATTTGTACAAATTCACTTAAAGGTATAATAAAGAGTTGGGCAGATACATACATACAATTATTACTACATATGTGAAAATAAGCGTGTACTATAAGAAATGTACCGATATTCTAACTAAACGTAAACTCAAATATCCGTAATTCCGATTTATAACAAAACCGTTACGCTTTCGAGTAATTTTGATGCTTTGTACATAGACAAAATTAGCTTTTGTTTTGCAATCTTCGTAAAAACACATTATGAAATTTCGAGCTAATGTTATTTCGGGCAAACGTATCTTCTGACTTCTGATAGGTAATCCCATGCCGTAAAACGAGAACAACAATATTTTGTTAGTTATTGCTAACGTTTAATAAAAAAATCATTTTAGAAATAGGATTAAAATCAAAGCAACTCTACGGTTTCTTTGTTCTAAATATTTCAATCGCTTGTGGTTCGAACAATTGAAAATGACCAAGAAGTTTATATAATCTTCTTGAAACTGATGTAATGGGTCTCTTTCCATCTTTTGCGCATGCAATGAGTAGAAAAAGTGCAGTTAGCTATTTCATTATTTCGTGTGCTTTTGTAATTTATATTTACGATTCAATTATGTATAAATTAAATACTATGAAACTGTACAAAATAACACTTTTAAATGACAACTATGATAACACAATATATTTGTTTAGTGAAAATATGATACAAAATCCTGTTTTTACACTTTACTGCAGTAATTTTTACAAGTTCTTATTATATGCTACTGCATTATTGACAACCGCGCTGTCAGTCAAACAAACGAAGACTGTTGCGCGATTGACGCTCTGTATGCGATTTTAACGCCCTACTTTTTACACTTTTTAGCGCGTACCCGACGTCCATTTATTGGTAGGTCAATGGTTGATAATATTACTACTTTCACTTATTTCCAAAATTAAATGGAAGTATTAAAGGTTCACTTAAATCTGTCACTGATATTAATTCTATACCAATGTAATACCAAAATACAAAAAGCTTACACTATTCGGAATCTGTTTAAAAATTTCTCTATAAAAACATGAATCTTGAGGTTGGAAATTTATAGGATTTATATTTCAGTTTTCTCTTTTTTATATGCTCTCAAATTACAAATATAATATTCTTTTCTGTGCAAATTCTCTTTTCGTAATATTTGAATATTTGTAAATGCAAAACAATAAATTCAAAATTTCATGTGACAATCCCGGATATTCTCATAATAACCTGAAATATTCCCAAATGGAATATTGACCTACTTTAATTAAATGTTTACATGTCGATAGATTATGGTACGACACTAAAGAAATCCGCCATTTGTTCGTTAAATTTTTGTTTAGGTATGCACGTTCATTCCGTAGTTAGGGCAGCTCCTTTCTTTTATTTTTTTTTCCATCCTCTAAGGATATGACATTGTGTTGTCTGTCTCCGTATTTAATGTCATTTTTGTCTAATTGCAGATTCGCAAGCTTCGTAGAGGGTAACTCCCACCTCAGCGACGACGAAATCGTAGATTACGAAGCGTACGCTTTCTCTCTGGATCGAAAAGAGAAGCGGATACCACTAGCCAATTCGACTAGCACCATGGAGATATCTGATGATGACGAGATATCTTCCGATGATGAGAATTAAAGATTTATTGTTGTGGATAATTGAACTGAACAAAATGTTGCCTTTATTAAACGAACAAGATAAAAAGTTAAACATTTTGCGAAAATGTAGTGAACTAATTGTTAAGGTATATTTAAGTATGTGCACTTAGGTGAATCAATTGTAGTACCATTGTCTAAGGCTTACAAAATCTCTTTTAGTCTGTGTGATACTGATAAGAGTAACAAACAAAAAACTCAAGTATTTATTGTATCACACATGTGATTTATCCTCTACATTGTGTAATGTCACGACCAATTAATGTTGATCCTCGCTGATGAGTGGTGCTCTTCGGACGATTTTCCTATTTCAATACCATATTTCTTGTCATTATACGGAATATTATGACAAAAAATAAGTTATCAGTGCTCATAGGTAGTTATTATTGATGAAGTTTATGATCTCTTGCTTTTAAAGTAGAATACCATGTTTCTTGTATCTTTGTTACTGTTGTCATTTTTATGATTTTATTTAACCTAATTAAAAAAAAAACGAGTAAGAATTCGTAATAATGTACTTACGCAATTACCTTGTCAAGAGAGTTTTCTAGTTTATACTTAACTGCCATTGTTTTTTAAAGTATGTGTAATTTTCCATAAGTAACAATGGGACTGAGTAGGAAATAAATAATAAAAATTACTTGTTAGTAATAATAAATATATTCATTTTTTGTAATACAAAGTCATATTTTTTAATTCTTTAGCACCATTTTGATAAAGACCAGTATTAATATTGTATAAAAGTGTCCTTAATCACCATTTAATAACAATGAAAATTATCCAAATTTTTAGGATAATGTTCCTAAATATAACTTCTAATAATTTGTCATTAATATCAAAATGTTTGTTTATTATTTCTTTTTGTAATTTTGTGTGACATTATTTTCTGTGTGTAAGAAATACAGCTTGTAAAACTGATTGCTTTTTATTTTAATTGCTTAAAGTAATTTTAATAAGAACTTAAAATAAATTAATGGCGTTAAATACTACTACTAATTCATTAATACAATTAATTTCGCAAAATAATTTTAGATTTAATATATCAAGTTGTAATTGCCATATATATCTATGTTCAGATTGATCTGTTCTATCCATATATTCGCCATTTCCATTTTTTATTTTGGTTTTAATTTAATTTACTTTGATTTCGACACAAAATAGAGAACAATATCAAGCGTTACATTGGTCATTTTGGACAAAAAATATCTAAAAAATAATTCACCTCCCAAACCAAATTGAGTTGGTTATCTGTTGGTATATGGTCGTCATAAAATAATATTTGGAATGAATAGAACTAGATCACAGATTTCGGAACTGGTCATCTAACATCTCGTAAATTAGAAGATACCCAGCCTTAGATTAAAAACATAGGCAAGAGAAATGACGTCACATTATTAAAGAACACGAAAAAGAGAATTCTTCATTAGTATTAAAATATTCAGTTAATAACATATTAACCTACACATTGAACACTTGCTGGGTGTTAGGAGCGTGCGCGGCTAGCTTTCTTGCTCTTGTCGAGAGTCTGCGCTGGCGGCGGCGGTTTGTTTGACAAGTGGCGGCTGTAGAGCCTGTAATTAAAACGGCGACATGAGTCCTCTTAATACTTTTGTTTTGTGATACCAAGTTATAGGACGAACAAGTGGTGCGCCTGGTGTTAAGGGACACGCCTGTCCATAGCAGTTGCAGTGCCACTCAAAACTTTAAATTTCAAAGTTCAGAGGTTCAAACCACTCACTCTCACCTTGAGACAAGTCTCATGTGCCTGTAATTTCACCAGCAGCCTTGCCTTTCACAACTGGACAGTATTGCTCACATTACTGCTTGGCGGCCGAGATAGGGTAGTACTTCCTTGGATGAAATCTTTCACAAGAAGCTCTACTGCTACTAATTACTGTGGTTAGTTGTAATCCAGTTCACTCACTTATATTTATAGACAAGTTACATGGTTTCCTATTGTCTATCGTAGTAAAACTGCACCCTTATATTGAGTACATTATATGTCATAAGCTGGTTAATGTACGAGTTGTAAACATACTGTACTAACTGCAACTTTTTAAAATAATTTTCCTCAACACAATTACTTACACTCTATAGGTCTCTGAACGTAGGTAGTCAAGAACATGTGAAGGTCCAAGTTTTAATTGGTCTTCAATTGGTGGCACCCAGAAGTTGCCTTCCAGTCGCAGGACTGCCTTGTTTGTTGCCAGATCCAATGATCCTGGTAGAACATATAGTAATATACAAACTCAAATTATAAAGCTGAGAGTCCAGGACTGTTTTTAGTACTATATTTTATCGGGGAGGTCTATTCAACTGATAACGTTATTGTACATACCGATTTCGGGAGGCAGTACCACCAGACGGTTGCCTTGTAGGTGTAATTCACGCAGTCTCGTCAGTTGACCTAGTTCGCGGGGAACCTCTATTAAGTCGTTCTCGCGCATTGATAACTAAAAGAAACATTAAATGCTTACAATACAAATAGGTTCAATATATAGAGAGGAGTAGGGATTACAATAAATATTGGATTGTCTAGGTAAACAGTGCGTCATATAAAGTACATGTGCACTAATAATTTTTACACTGAATTAAAATAATTATCTATTATATTATTATTACATTTAGAATAATTTACTTAATTGGAAAGTTTTAAAATGTAGATTACAACTACGATAAGAGAACTTACAATTTGCAAATTTTTCAAATTGCCAATTTCTGGTGGCAGGTATTCAAAGTCATTGTCGCCCAAGTATAAAGCTCGTAATGTTTCTGAAAAAGTGAAATATAAATATATTTCTGGAAATATAGGTTGTATAGTAGTTGGTTATATATATTCTATAGTTTCACTAAGCCTAGTTAAACATTGCACCTAAGTACAAATTCTATTTACTAACATGTACTAAAAATGATTATTATATGACTAATGACCACTAGCATTAAAATTAAGTACAACTGAAACCAATGATTAAATTGATACAACACTCTTAACGCAATGTGTAAGAGCGTATTTTGCATTGCAAGCATTAGAATACAGCATACTTAAACTGCAAGTGGACATAACACATAAATTATGTAGATACAAATAAACATTTTATCTATCTATTTATCAAAGTATCACATTGAAATACACAAATTGTTATAGCAAGATACCAAGAAATGAAACGCCAAATTTTGGATATATTGATACAGTATGATAGAAGTCCTTTCCCCAGGAATGAGCCCATTATGCCAATTAATAAAAAAAGGTAAATTATCTGTCACACAAAGCTTACCCATCATAAAGAAGTTTCCAGGCAGAGTCTTCTCATTTATATTATTATATGTCAAGTCCAAAATTTCAATGACTGGAAATGCTCCAAAACCTCTAGGCAATCCATACAGTCTGTTAAGTGAAACATTAAAAATTCTCAGCTTGGGGAGTGATGATAGACTCACTGGCAGTTCCTCAATATGATTATTGGCAAGGTTCAGTATTTCTAAGTTCATCAAGTTGGCCAAAGCCGCTGGTACCACTTGGATTTTATTGTGGCTCAATGATAGCCGTGTTATGTTGGCCAAACTGACTGCAAAGAAAATACAAGTTATGTTAGGGATACAATTATACGTGCATTCTGAAAGATATGTTTCAGTTTATGCTTTTTCCGTTTTTAAACCATCGAAAAACCTTATGAAAGTTAGTCAGATGGGTTTTCATGGTGATAAAGGGAGTTTTCCCGCAAGTGTCATGCCGTCATAATTTGAAGTGGTGTTCCATTGACCTACCAATAAATGGACATCGGGTTCGCGCTAAAAAGTGTCCGCACCTATAGCGCGTTAAAATCGCATACAGAGCGTCAATCGCGCAACAGTCTTCATTTGTTCGAGTGACAGCGCGGTTGTCAATTATGCAGTACCATATAATAATAACTTGTAAAAATTAGTGCAGTAAAGTGTAAAAACAGGATTTTGTATATTTTCACTAAACAAATATATTGTGTTATCATAGTTCTCATTTAAAAGTGTTATTTTGTACAGCTTTATCGTATTTAATTTATATATAAATGAATCGTAAATATAAAATACAAAAGCACACAAAATAATGAAATAACTAACTGTCCTTTTTCCACACATTGCATGCGTGAAAGATGGAAAGAGACCCATTACGTCAATTTCAAGAAGCTTATATGTATAAACTTTTTGGTCATTTTCAATTGTTTGAACCATAAGCGTTGAAATATTTAGAACAAAGAAACTATAGTCTCTTTGATTTTAATCTTATTTAAAAAAATATTTTTTATTAATGACGTTTAATTCGAGCTAACGAAATAAAATGTCAAATGTAGTATTTTTTTACGAAGATTACAAAACTAAACTAAATCGGTTTTCGGAATTACGGTTTACGTTTAGTTGGAATATCAGAACATTTCTTATAGTACACGCTTACTTTCACATTTGTAGTAATATTTGTATGTTTGTATCTGCCCAACTCTTTATTATTTCTTTAAGTGAATTTGCACAAAATTTGACGTAATAATATATATAAAAATTAATTAATATTTACGATAAAGGCTATTCCATTACTCTTGTGTTCAAGTAATTTTCAGTCGAAGCTAAATATGGTGTTTTTGGGTTCTTAAATTGTTGCAAGCAAAATTAGGCAGTACTGCAGTGACGTTACAATTTAAATTAAATGTTTTAGTTTTTTATATTTCGTTACATGTCACTACATTTGTATAGGTTAACTTAGGACATTATTTTCGTGGTTTTTGTATTAGACCCCACGTCCATTTGTTGGTAGGTCAATGTGGTGTTCACATTTTGTTATCCAAATTTAAGATGAACGATTGTTTTAACCGTGTTGGGTTTTGTGATTGTAACAGGAAGTAAATTACAATGGTCGAAGATATTTATTTGATAATAATAGTTGTAGGTTAAATTTATACTAATGACTCCACTTCCATAGGTTACTTCTAATATAATAAAAAAATAAGAAGTTTGTAGTGATATTAATATGATTTCCCTCAATAACAACTACATACATACAAAATTTAATTAAAATTACCAAGATAATATAATATTTTTCTACTTAAAAACAACAGCTGACAGACGACTTACAAATACAGTAAAAATAACTAGTTCCGTTTATGGTGAAAACAAGTAATTGTGAACTACTTACAGAGGCCAGGGATCTCGTCAAGACTCGAGATCCCTTTATCCACTAAATCGATCTCAGGATTGTTGATTTCTTTCGCGTCTTCAATAACTTTTTTCGCCTTCGACATCTTGCCAGTATTTGGAATACAGGAAACTGGAGGATGATGACTCATATCGCAGTTTTTTTCCTCGTCACTTGTAACATAGGCAGATGCGCTTGCTCGTTCTTGCGCTCCAAAAATAGATTATGCATGTAGGGTATGTTGTACAACAATTAATTATTTAACTAGCGATGATTATATTTTATTTTTAATAACTCACACAATCATTCTAAACAAAGGAGATACAATTTTAGAAAATGAGCATAATAAAATAGGTTAAGTGAAATCAAAGAATACTTCTAAACGAAATCTCAAGAAAGAATTATTTTGCATTCATTTTGAAATACTTTTTGAACGAAATAGAAAATGTCAATTAAAGAATGAATTTAACGCCTTCTCCCTATGAGTAGCAAATATATTCAATTATGTACTGCCATCTCCTGTCGAATAGCGTCAACATGAATGGACTTTGACATAAGGCTATGTTTGTGAGATAAGAAGAGAGCTGCGACGCCTGTAACCTAGGTAAATGAAAGAGCGAGCGGGCGGACGCGGTCAACTGGTCAAAGTAGTCAACATAGCATGGTTTTAAGCTACATATTTCCAACTACTATGAGAATAAAACATTTACCTATTTTATAAGTGTTTTGTACTTTCACATTTTTGTAACTCTGGATACCTATTTCAGAAAATTAAGCAAATAAACTTTTTACTAATATGCATTGAATTACTACAAATCGCCAAATTCCTGCTACTAAATCAACACCCTAACCAAATAACTTTGATATTGGATTTGCAATTTTGCAGTTTGAACTTGGGGGTAGAGACAGTGGTGTTGGGTTTACATTAGCTCTTTGTTATATTTGTGTTTTCTACGTAATTATAATCCCTTACAGTGATTAACAGTTCGTTGGCATTAATATCTCTTATGTGGCGTTTTAGTAAGAGTTATCAAATTATGATTATGTGCTTGTTGGCGAGTGAATTGATCAGACTTTAATTTGTGAATCGTGAGAAGACTCATTTTTGTATTACTTTTACGCTTTGATTTATTTTACAGGTGAGGAAGATGTATTATTTATATATTTAGTGTATTATATGTTTAGTGTTTTTAGTGAAAACGTCACATTGCTTTTTATTATAGTAGGGAGTACATTGCGACCGTCACTTTGTTTTTTACAAACCGGCATTACTAAGTACATCTATTTTTAAAAAGCCTCTAGAAGTTTGTAATCTGCTTATTTTTCATGTAATTTCCCGATTTGATTATATGGCAACAAAAGTGTAAAAATATCTTGTACATTATTTTTCGTCTTCCTTCTATAATAATATACTCTTTATTTGTTTTGTTAAAACTTTGTATCCATAAGGTTTATTTTTTTGTTCAATAAAAAAAGATTCTTTCTTCATAACTCTGTATCAGAAGCCTTTGTTAACAACTTATACAAACTCTTTTGTGTTAGCCATGAGTGAACGACCACAGCCTCTACGAGCCGTCAACAAACTGTTTGAGGGCAAAGAACCATGGCAGATAGTCACTATGACTGCATCTTCTGTGCTCGCTTTAGTGTGGGCACATAGTCTCTGTAATGCTAGAGAGAGTAAGTATTAAATATTTTGCTAGTTGTAACTGATATGTCTGCAAGTTAGTGCTCTGGCTCACACTATGTCTTTTTGATGTATGATTATAATTTCATATCTGACATCCTTTAAAGGTCACATTCAGTATGTGAAGCAACTTTATCACACATTTGCGTTGAGTAGGTCACATGTTTGATTTTTTGCAATTTCAGAGGGGTGACCACAAAAACACTTTTATTTTCGTGTACTGACTCCTATTAAAGGATAGCTAATAAATTAGAACATTACTGTAAACCCCTTTAATACCACTTTATTATAACAAGCTTGAAAGTACACACATCAAAAGTGTCTAGGGATCAAGTGAATATTTTTGAAATAAAAATTATTTAAGCAATATTTACCAAATCCAGTCTTCCAGGACGACTTCTTACTTTAATGCTTATGTTTTATTTAACCGCTTACCCCTACATTTAATTAAAATAAACTAAAATTGATGTTTTTGCAAATTGTGGGAAAAAACTCAAATTAACGGCGTCAATTAAATGACAAAAAATGGCGAAAATGATGATTTTGCTAATTTTTATTGTAAAGATAAGAAAATTAATAATCTGTATTTCCACCATTAACACGAATCACACAATTACAGCGATTTGGCATGCTTAAGATGAGTTCATCAAAATCACTTTGAGGAATGGTCGCCCATGTGTTTTGTAACAAGTCAAAATATTGTTGTAGAGTATGTACGGTATGCATACTCGGCACAGCTCTTCTTTGAAGCATATCCCATGCGTGCTCAATTGGATTGAGGTCTGGCGATTGAGCAGGCCACGGCAGAACGTTGATACGAGCTTCGGCAAGAATGCGTGTTACGACTCTAGCCGTGTGTGGACGTGTGTTGTCATGCATTAGTTGAAATGAATCACCCAACTGGCCTCGCAAAGGGATGATAACATCTGAAACAATCCTCTCTGCGTAAACTTGAGCATTGAGGTTACCCCTGATCCAAATGAGATCGGTTCTTCCGCCGATCCAAATACCGGCCCATATCATTATTGTTCCCCCACCATATGGATGAACTTCCTGACAATATCTCAAACGTTCATGACGTCCAGATGTTCTCCAAACTCGAGTACGTCTTGTATCCGGTCTCATACCGAAGCGGGATTCATCCGAAAAGTACACAGCGCCAGTCTTCTTCCTCCCAGTTTCTGTGTTCGCGAGCCCATCGTAAACGGGTCCTGCGATTGCAGGGTGCAATAGGTGGAACTCTGAGCGGCCTTCGGGATCGCAGACCCACTTCACGTAAACGATTTCGGATTGTTTGATCGCTTATTAGCAAGCCTGAGGAGCTGTGGAGCCTCGTAACCAACATCATGGCGGTCATGGTACGATTCCGTCGAGCAGTATTTTGGATATACCGGTCCTGTCTGCGAGTCGTGATGCGAGATCGTCCTCCATGTCGCTCGGCCACGCTGCCCGTCATGCGATAGCGCGTCCAGAGGCGACTTATGACGCTCTGTGTAGTGTTAAGAGTGAAAGCCACAGTACGTTGCCTGGAACCAGCTTCCAACATTCCGACGGCTCGCATCATCACTTCTCGGGTTAAATGATGTCGTCTCTCCATAATAATGTAAATTGTTTCGGTTCCGATGCAGATATTGTAATGATTTTGTCAAAACGCTATAACTCATTTTTATACAAAACCACATTGACAATCGATTTTCTTCTTATTATCGAATTTTAAACAATATTCCTTATTTAAATGTTAAAACTCACTAAAAAGTATCAATAGGGATACAAAAAAGTTAATATAATTAACCCTAATTGCAGCAATACTCTTAAACGTACTTGATCCCTAGACACTTTTGATGTGTGTATTTATTAGTAAGGGGGTTTACATATGTGCAATAATTTTGCTTTTTCATATTAATTTTGCTTTCTAGTTATTTTTACCTATACTTTTGAAATCTTTTTGGAGTTTTGTCAGAGTCATTGTTACGCATAGGAAATGAAACTATTTTTCGGATCTAAATCGCGTGTATTTGTTTTTTCAAATAAACCAAATTTTTGGGCCTTTTACAGATACTATGGTCACAGTTATGTGTGAAAAAACGAATCTACGCGATTTATATCCGAAAAAATAGTTCCACATTTTAAATCTTTAACTAACTAAAATAGGTAATTATTAAACGCTTTTATTTCAGTTTCATTAAAGCTATATTTAAATACATGGTCAAATGTGAAAACTACAAGTTGTTACATGTGACATCACACTTTGTTGTGACCTTTTAACTCCATTGTTTTTAAGCATTAACATGTTGGTATTAGAAAAACTAACTTCAGATTCATTTTCAGCATATTAATATAAGTAATTTTATGCAATAAGAAAACATTAGAGCCTATCTAGATACCTATATGTCTGTGGAGCCTATGCACACGGCGGCGTATTTTATACGCGCTGACGAGCGTTACGCGAACACACGTTTACGCGCCGCAAACGTGCTGTAGTGAATCGATACAAACGCGCGCAAACGTCGTATAGCAAACGTCGCAAGCAGGTATACTCTACTGGAGTTGCTTTATTGCAAAAAATAACTGAAATTAACCAACAAAACTAAAATTTAAATTGTCTTTTATCAAAACGCGCGGCGCGTATAATATACAGCGTGTCCCAAAATTCAACGATAAGCGGGCGCTGGAGGGTGGACCTGCGCATAACTACTTGAGGAAAAATAAGAAAAAAAATCTATCTCATTTTTTTTTCAATTACGATAAAAAAATTGTTATTCTTCGAAAGTTTACTCCCTTAATGATATTTTAAATCACCACGACCACAATTTTTCAGATATTTCTGATGTTTTTATTTTAACGGCCACCTAAGTAGTACTGCTGTCTACCACAACTCTTAAAATTCCCAGAATGCCTGCAATTTTACAAAAAAATCCATCAAAATATTTTTTTTCCTTGAAATTTTGAAATATTTTTACCTGCAGTCGACTTTCACTCATCGTTTTGTAAAAAAAA